TGGCCTCCTTTCAACAACTGGTTTCCTTGCCTTCAGATTAGACGGAAAGAGGTCAAACAAACCAGCTGCGTGGAGGTTCTCACCAAGAGATGGAGCGACACGAACCCAAATGTCCAGCCATTGTCCAGTGAACGATTTGCTTCCTTTCCTAAAGGGATCCTAAGCCTAACATTTACCACCTTCATTCCAAATTCAGCCCTGCAGCGTTCACACAGCCTAGATATGGTTATTCCAACATTGACTTGCTGAAAATTAACAGGACAGCTGTAAAACTGAGCAGCGTAACTCACAGATGGTCTGTTAATCAGGGAAACTTTGCCTAAAACACCTCACAGGGACATGCTGACACTCTAAAAGAAAACTGTCAAATTCACTAATCAAAGCGTCATCCAGAGTCAGACTATCTAGGTACGCTAGCACAACTCTGGAGAGCTATTAGGTTTTACATGATGACTCGGAGAACTGAGAGTTTTTTCAAGTTTGGCCTAAGAGAAAACCTGCAGTTCCCACCAACGTATGGCTGAAACTCACTCTGGCAGAGGCACAGACTTTCTAAGGCCCTCGTTTATAAGGGGTGCATCCCATATTCGTTTCTCTTGCCCTTCCATATATTGCCTAAAAATTCTTGTTAAAGGAGATGTTTTCTTTTGAAGGTGAGGTGATAAGGATGTACCATGCAAGTCTTGGATCCTGTGAAACATGAAATGATTGAGCTAATACTTCTGCACAGTAACAAATTCATGTGTAGTGAAGACACCTTCCAAATGGCCTAAGAAAGGGAGAAAAATTGTTTCTGCTCACATCCAATAATAACCAAAACAAATGCAAAGAAAAGCAAGCGGGGCAGGTTCTTCATGACAATTAAAGCTGTGATGCTGCAAGGGGGCTAGGAGGGGAGAGCACGAGAGACGAGGAGAGGAAGAAAGCTGCAAAAAGGGAATGCAAACCAAAGGTAAGAAGAAAAATGAGGATAGATAAATTCACCAAGAGCGAGGGTGTACTGAGATACAGTATAGCAAACTGACAGGACTCCTGGGAATCAGTGAAAGAAAACAGGAATGGAAGGAATAAAGAGGAACTAGGATAAAGAGATAAAGTAAGTGAAATGCACAGACACATCAGTTTCTTACAATAATCTATCCTAAATTATCTTTGCCTTAATTAGGAGGAAGACAGTCTCTAACTTTATAGAAATACTATGGAACAGAGGCAAACAAGTAAACAAAAGCTCACAAACACAGCAAATTAAAATAACGCAACCAGTTTCATCATCGCAAAGACTACACGTGACTGTTTGGTCTTTCACAGCAGTCTTCCTATTGTTAAATTCCCTATTAATTTTTATTTTCCTCTTACTATCTGGTACGGTACAAAGATACAGCTGTTGCCTGCAGAACTGCACATTTAATATTTGCTATTTGATAGAAACATTACATACTTTTTGAAGTCGGTGTAGTAGTTCTTTTATCATTAACATTGAACTTGTATGTGTTCTAAAAGTCATGACAACTTCCACTTCTGGCTGTAATATGCTAAATAAAGGATACTACATACATTATAAATCTTCTCAGTTTACAAAAAAAATTTAAGTGCTATTTAAACTGTGTATTATTTCATTAGCATTTAGAAGTATACAGGCCTGCAATAAACTTTTAAGGTTAAAAAGAAGGCATAGAAATAATTAAGACATAGTGAACATACAGAGTTTGAGAGACGTATGTGGCATTACTGAGATCCTAGTTCACATGGTTACACTGCAAGACTGATTCATTTAAATCCCCTATTAAGGATTAGAAACTGCCACGGATACTTACTAACACTTGTAGCTGCAGCTATGCAAATGTCTGAAAAACTAGGCAGGATGTAGGTTAACCTCTCACCAGCATTCCCAATAGATTTTTGAATATCAGGGAGATTTTAAATTTGGCAACAAGAAAAGCTTACTAGACATGTTTTTAAACCTCACAGCAGATCTGAATCTGCTTAACTTTAGAAAAATCCTGACTAAAAGTATTACCATATTAATTGGTTATATGCCAAAAATAGAAACTGAAGATGTTGAAAGTACCTTGTGCTTCAAACGTTTCAACAAAAGTAAATAGTAGATAAATATGATACTCACAGCTGCCACCCGCTCTGTTACTCCTTTGCCCCACTGAGTTTTCAGATTCTTTGTATGGAAATTGAAGAGTAGTATCCAAACTTCGAAAACCTTCTTTGAGAGAGTGGTGCTTGTAGTATTCTATGAGCTCCTTTCAGAAAAGGAAAGCAGCATGTCACTGGAAACGTTATTCACATTCTTTTCAACATTCTGGTGTACAGTCAGTGACAGTTTTATCATGCAAGTAACCTTCTTTTTTTTATAAAGCAACATCCCACAGTGCGCACAAACTAAAAAAATCAAGTATCCTAAATACTGATTGCTTATGTACTGCCACTTAGCTTTCTGTGCGATTAAATCCTTGCCCTGAAGTGTAGAGAATATTTATATAGTGAAATCTTATTTTTTATAAATACAATGCTTACGTCATGTGTAATACACATGCCATATTCATATAGTAAAACCTTATCAAAGTCCATGCTTAGTTTCTCCTTTGAGCCAGGGTGAGTATGTATTTGCTTTTCTGAAGTCAGGCAGAAGGCAAGGTCTGTTGCCTGTTTACTATACCCTGGTAACTGCCCTTGTTTTCTCAGATTTCTTTTGCAGCAACAAGTGATGTCCATTAGCAAATGCACTTAGTCATACACAGATCCCACAGAAGTATATAAGCCTTGTATATAAGCAGATGAGCAACCTGATGAGCAGGTACGTGGACGATGTAAAAGTTTCAAAGCACTGCCGTTAAAATTTGTGCATTTTTTCAAGATAGTACACACTACATGAATGATCCAGCATTTCACATTCTCCTTGGGCCCAATTCAAAAATTTCTGTTTCTAAATACATTAAATTGGCTAAAATAGTTTACAGAACCAAGGAGACATGACCTGAAGGCAGTTACTTTAGTTCCTACTCTACAGGAGGTGGCACTCATCAAATTCCTGATTCCTGACAGCTCGCATTTGCGGTCTTCAGCTCCTGTCATTGGCTCTCAGATTTGACCTAGTCATAATATGTCAACAACACACACAGCTTGCAGACAGAGTCTGGAATAAGATTGAAAATGACCAGAAAAATCAAAGCAAATATACTCTATTTGATTAATGATCCTTCAATCATGGGACTTTCCTCTTCAAAAACACGGGCAAAAAGTCATACATGTAGTGTAAACCATTCACTCCTACCAATAATTCCTCAGTCATTCCACTCTACTTACTAACATTCAGATTTCCATCATCAAAGTTGACCAAGACAAGTTTAGGTCCAAATAAATAGTACTGTTGTCAATCATTTCATTCTAGCTCAAAAAAATTACCTGATTTATTATCCTACAGTTCAGCAATAAACTAATTCCAGCCAGCAAAATGTCCCTCAAATGGTTCAGTGCCCAAAAGATTGAGCGCCGAAAGCAGAAGTTTCTGAGAGCAGGTGGAAGCCCACCTGCCGGACTGAGCCCGGAGCTCCGCTCTTCGCTCCCCAAGCTGCAAGCTCCTGTGCCTCCCGAACCAGTGCTGAACAGCAGTAAAATCCACACCTGTACTTAACAGCTCACACTCACAGACCACCAGGCACTGCAAGCAAGCAGAAACCCCAGGAAAATATGAACTGCTTTGGCTTTGTTATCTGACATTAGCCCAGCAGGCGAGCTACAATGTCAGCAGCCAAAGTTGCTTTTACATATCATCACTGAGTACCCAGGCATTCAAATTACCAAGGCAACACAGAGGCTGATTTGTAAGCAACATTCAAAGATGGATTCCCCGATAAATGGAAAAAACCAGTAGGAAACTTGATTTGTTATCAGTTCGCACTCCATAAGTCAGTGGGAATTACGATTTTTGGTAAAGACAGCAAGAATATCAACTGGACTGATTTTATTCATTGGCAAAATAAGTGAAATGGTTCCAAACTGAGGGGGAAAAAAATTGGATCATAAGGTTTCAGTTGCTTTTAAAAACCTTTATTTTTCAATATTACTCTTCCATGAAAGCAGTCAAAAACCAGCTGGCCTTGTAAACATTCATTGCACAGATCACAGCAGTAAACTTGCAAACAGATCGATAGCCGCAGCCCTGCCGGTGCGCGTGGCTCCCCTGCAGCCTGCCGCGCGACCACGCTTCACAGCCGCCGCAGAGCTGCCCTCGCGCTCCGCTCCGCCTTGGCCTGCTTTACACATTCACAGCGCTCTGCCTCCTCTTGTGAAAGATTTTCAAGCGTAACACAAAAATTATGCACGGGAGCTGTCCTCTTTGCTTGCCTCCAAAGCAATACAGCATAGGGTGTCACTGCACATCTTTAGGTTTCCAGCGCTGCTGTTTCTGTCTCTCTTCTACTCTTAATCCTACTGAGACTGCTTCTGTTGCTCTCTCCTTCCAGACGCAATCACTTTCTCTTGCCTCTCTCCAGAGCAAAACAGTTTTTCCATGACATATGCAAATAGTACTTACACTATCACTTGTCTGTTTAACTTTTAAGGGCAGATTTTATCATACTAAAAAATTGAGTTATTAAATGCATTTATCTAGTTGAACAATAGCAAGGCAGAATTGGTAGCCATAAGACCTTTACACTAGAAATGTCTTTTGTCCTTCTCAATTCTTTGCTGTAACAGACACTCCTTTTGTTTCCTTTTTATCTAAGCTTATGTCCTGTACTTGCACGTCTTCAGCTCCGTTACATATCAGTGCATAACACTGCATCATTGCCATAAGAAGCTATCTGGCAGCATACAAGCCAGCTGACCTGCCTTGTCAAGACCCTGAAAGCACTCACATGTTCTCATCAGCGTCCCGTGAACTATCTGTAGCATTTGCAGACTGAGTTGCCACCTCCTTCATGCATTTGAGGAATGCGATTATTTCTGTTGCTACCAACAGAAGATCTCATGGTCCATGGCCCTAAGACTATACACCTTACTGGATTTTATGTGCCAAAGGAACACAGATTAGAGTGTGAAAACAGCTTAGTGCATTCTTCATTCAGGAAATTTATGTTTTTCCCATTCTAATAGGCATTAGACTGAATCAGGGTCACACAATGCAGAGATGATTTCTCGATTCTTTACCACTCACGGAATGCTCTTGCTTTACAGTGTCAGAGGTTAAATTAAAATCATTTCTAAGGCTTCCTGGTTTTGAAGCCTCTCTTCTTATTCTTGTTTTGCATTGCCCTTCATTTTTATTTATCATTTTAGAGTAATTAGAGATGCATGCGGGAAGGCTGCAGTATAAGTGTAATCCAATTGATTGCGCTAAATATAATATATTGAACGAGCTTCCCTTAACAATCATCAGAAAATGCTTAAGCAGTAAAATTTTACAAATGCACTGAGGTAATTTATTTAGACACCTTGTATTTACGAGTCTTGTCTGAGTAAAATGAACTATCAAGAAACTCTTTCAAATGAAAGTTCAAAAAAGTAATTTCTTCCCTGTACAAGATGATTCTGATATAAAATTGAAACCTCACTGAGCTGGACTGTTACAACACCGTACCCTTATCTCTGGGGATGAGCTATGCCTACAGCTGGAGTGAGAGGTAATGGGATAGCCCATGGGGACTTGTTACGACACTTTGCTAGTAAGCAATATGCTGACCCAGAGCATAAGTTAGAAGCCTCACAGTTGCTTTTATTTAGACTATTTGATATTGACCCCAAATGAGTATTAGTCCAATAAGGATTTCTGAGGTATCAGCAGTTCAGATCTAGCCCCATTCTCCAGACACACGTCTTTGCTCTCCCCCGGAGCACCAAGACCAACTCTCCTGAGTGTTTCTGGGCTCCGTGACACAGCTCCACCTTAACGGCTTTCTCCCTCCAACCTCGCACATCAGTAGATGCCATTCAGGTCCTCGATGCCTGCATGTGTGTGCAGGCGGTGTGGAAGGGAAGGACTTTCACCTAGCTATTTTGGGGAGCACTGCCACAGAGAGACACGTTTCCAAAAGCAGCAAACTCTGCTTTCAAGATTCAGCAGAACTGCACAGTGGGTTGACGTGTGGGATTCAGACAAATGCCTCCTCTCTTCCACACTGCTGCAAGGGACACAGTCTGGCCCTAAATTTAAATTTCTAATTTTAAGCACATTCCACAATCACTTAGAGCAAATGCCATAGATATAAAAAATCATCCTATTTGCAAGTACGGTCATGATTCAAATCTCCTAGTCTTACAACTTCTGTTTGTAATTCTACAAAACCAAAGCACGACATGCTACCTGCAACAGTTAGATAGAAGCTGCACACTGTAAAAAGCCTCATCAATGCTTACCATTAAATTTTTAAATTTTCTATTTTCTGCAATGTGAAAATAGCCATCTCTTGTTAAAATCTTGATGTGCTTCACTTCGTTATTGTACCTGTGGGCAACGAATAACTGATTAATATAAATGTGTTTTTAATCAGAGGCAATCAATAATTACCTGAGGGCATACCCCAGTAACACTACACAAATAAATTCTTAAGACAAAATGTATATCCATGCCAAAACAAAGTTGACATCTAATTAACCAAATGTATTTATTAAAGTCCAGCTAAAGAGGTAATCTGTATTCAGGAAAAAGTCATGACTAACTGCTTGTTCTAACTAGAAATTCCCATACATTGCTTGCTTTTATATTCACACTGATAATCAACGTGTCAGAAGAATTTGTGCCAAGAGAATCTGTGAACACACATTTTATGGAAATACCTGAGATGCAAAGGGCCTCAGACTCCCACTGAAGTCAATGAAAGATTCCTATTCGCTTCAGAAAACCAGAACAAATTATACTCCAGATGCTTACTGTAAGTTACCCAATAGACAATCATTTTTGTAGACCCGTTTGCTACACTGATGTTATAAAACTATTGCTATTTCCCAATATAAATCCTATCTGATCTATTTTGCCAGCAGTTTTCCTGTATTGACTGTCTGAGAGGCTATGTGTGATTGTGTAAGCTGAAATGGAATTTGTTGACTTTCCTTATTGATTATGAATATGGCATTATCTAGGCATAAATGAAAACAGACGAACTTTGTGTAAAAGTTCGTATCCCACTTACTTAATGCTAATTGCATATTCTCCTGACTCTTTGGTCCTGTGCCGCACCAGGTAAGTGCTATTTACTCTGTTAATAAGTTCACTCTCTGCTTGCAATCTTTCCATTGCTCCTGCAAACCTGTAACACAGAGAACAATAAAAGTTGGCTATGATCTTTTCAAAGCTATGCAGATAGGTCTATCAAATATACAATGCACAGGGCCCAGTATTCTGCATGTGATAGTGACTTAAAAATACAACAACTGCAATTGAACACCATTTCTACCTCTTTCAATTAAAAAAATAAAGCGTGAAAAAAATTGGGGGTAGGGGGAAGAAAGGCAATTTCTGGGCACAAAGGAAGTAATTCTTATTTAGAAAAACTCTCATGTATGTGTCTGAGACAACTCCTGTTAAGGGAAGAACTTGTGCCTGAGCATTAGCTCAATGACCACTGATTTCAACAATTCATAAATACAAATGATTTTTCTGAATCAGGGTTTTTTCCTGAGATTGCCCATTAAAAGTTGGCCTGCATCATGTGTTGCAAGTGAAACAACAAAATAGTGACTTGTGGCATTTTATATCAAAACTGAAAACATGGACCCTGTCTTACCACTATCTTATACTGGCACAGGATGTGTGAACCCCTCTGCCTTCTAGGGGCATTTATGTTTAAAAAAAAAAAAAAAAAAAAAAGTGGAGAATCAGCATCTGGTAGCATACTAGGACAAATATATTAACTGATACATTAATTTAATTTTAGTATTTAAATAAACAAACCATTTTGCTTGCTTTCATAATTATTCATAACCTCTGAAGGCTAAAGTGTAATTGATAGACTAAACTTATAGAAGCCTGAAAATTCACTTCAGCCTAACATGCCCAAATTGGAAAGAGTTGACGGCAAAGCTGAAAGCTAAGAAAAGTCACTGATTCCGCAGGCTCGCTGCACAAGCAGATTTGCACCCCTACTGCGCCTCGCAGACCTGGCTGGGCCTCCACGACAGGCTGCCCGCAGACAGCCGTACGCAAGACTAGAGGCTGAAGCGTTAACTGAGCAGGGTGGGAGAAATGACTTAGCTTAAAAGGAAACAATTATTTCTTTTACCATTTTAGAAGGTAGTGTAACTGCAGTCAACACCAGAGACCACTGCTGTCCAAAATCTCACACTAATCACATCACTGCTAATTAGAAGAGATCTTTAAATAAAAAGAATTATTTTTATAGGACTAATCACATCAGGGAGAATGATTTTTGAAGTTTATCACAAAACACGTGACTTTTTACAGCAAGTTTCAGCTTAAAGCCATTTTTTGGTTAAGTATTACAAAATGTTAGAAAATAAAGACTGATCCCAGTGATATGCTATGCTCTCTACTAATAACATTATAGAGCGAATGTTAGAATTGAGTCAACAAATACCAGCTTTACATATGTAACATTTTATTTGGCTGGTTATGAAAAAATCAGTATTTGTTCAAATATGATTCTGATTTTACTTTCTGTAACTAAAGAAA